GTAGATTTTCAAAGTGTACGGGAACTTTTGCACAACCCTGTATTTTTTCATGGCTATGGCTAAGTTGGTCATGCAACCAACTTCCTGAAATTTGGATCATTTCAGATGGAATGGCTGACTCATAGGCAATCGTAGATCACCACCAGCCCCCACCTCTCACCCCTACACTTTCGAGAATGTTCCTACACCTTTTCTCATGTCGAGTGCCTGCAGGTTTGGGAATTGTCACCCCCTGAGCAGCTTCATTATAGCTCCGAAAAGCTAATAATCACTTAGTGCCAGATCTGGTCACTCCGGAGGGTGTGGTAGCACCTCTAATCCCAGATCAGCTCTGACATTTGATGTTTGCCTACTGGTGTGCGGTTTCGCATTGTTACGCTGCAGCGGAACACGTGGACTCAACTTCCCTCGACGTATCGACCGGATGGCACTTTTAAAGTTTTGACAGCACGTTGAAGTAATATCCACAATCAAATGTTTTCCCTTCCAGTAGCCATTCCATACTTCAATTGCTTGGACTGTTGTTTCGTCTACGGTTCGTGGAAGCGGAACCATGTTTCATTGCCAATAACAAGACGTCTGAAGAAACCATCTGAATCGTTGCCGAGGCAGAACTGATCGGCTTCGCCTCTACGCGTGCCTTCAATTCCTCTGTCCGTTGACAGGCATTCCATGCTGCATAAACCTTTCCTAGATGCAGATAGCCGTGTAAAATTGTATTTATGGAACCAGCTGAGATTCCAGCCTACATTCCAGCTGAGATGCTTGGTGTATGATTCATCTGTTGATCGCGACCAACAGCTCAGCAGCTGCAACATTTTCTTATCCAGTGTAGTAGTACTTGCTCGATTGACTAAGTCTTGACGCATCTTCAACTGACTAACAACGACCTTGAAAAGAATGCACCCAGACAGTCTGTTTGGACAATGCAGACTCCGCACTCACAGTCACTCCCCATTACTGACATTTGGAATTAGGTGTGCTGACGGAACAGAATTGTCGAGATCATCGCTGCCTTAGAAATGAGATCTCAACACCAAATCGTCAAACCGGTTAACCGGCCGATCTTTTCTAACCGATTACTCAAATTCGGTTTCAATTAACAGCCCCCCCCCCCCCCCCCCCCCCCCCCCCCCCCCCCCGCCCCCCCACCCCCCCCCCCCCCCCCCCCCCCCCCCCCTGTTCCTCGGCATAGAAAAATCTATATATCACCCAAGCGTGGGATTGGGGAGTTCCGACCGCAACATAAGAGATGAAAAAAGAAGCACGAGCGACCCTTTTTTTTTTTCTCCCCCTCCTTGAGTTCCCCTCCCGTCCAGATTTTTTTTTTGTTGCATCTCCTGCACAGACAGGGAAATGAGAAGTTCTTCCTCCCGCTCCCAATTTTGCTTTTTTCCTGCATATTGCCCGGCTCCAGCCAAAGGGTGGGAGCCGACACTGAGATTTTTTCAAATGCATAAAAAGGAAAAAGGCAGATAATCCTCGTCTCCCTCTTTCCTTTTTCTTTTAATTAATTATTTTTCACGTAATGTCATGAAGTTTACTGTCTGTCTGTCTCTCTCTCTCTCTCTTTGGGTTTTATTTGGGTCCTCAGTGGACCCGTCTGAAAAGGGATATATTATTATTATCCTTCAACCAGGACCAGATTAAGAAGTTGGGAGGCCCGGAGCAAGTGGATTCTTGAGGCAACCCCCCCCCCCCCCCTCCCAGGCTACTTTACGCAAATATTTAACGTTTTTAATTTCCTTCGAGGGGGGGCCTGGAAGAGTGGGGCCCGGGGTAGCAGCCCACTTTGTCCCCCTTAATCCGGGCCTGCTTTCAATAGAAACCATTTATGGCGGAAGACGCATGAAAAGATATCAGGGGAGGGACAACTTCGGTCTTTTACTCCTTTTCTGACATGAGAGAGGAATTTTCCCCTTCATGGGAAGTTTTCCCTGAACTTCGGTTAACTGTCGGTTACCGGTTAATAAATGAAATGCAAATTGAGAGATAAATCAAGAGCCGCTACGAATAATTGATTATTGATAATTGACCATTATGGAAACAGGGAAAGGTCTTTTTTTCATGAAGGAATCAAGGGCAGGTTTTCAAAATATAAGGAACTACAGAACTGAAGGCTTGATTTTCGGGTCAAAAGCTTAGTTTAGTCGCTAGCCTGTGCAGGGAAACTCTTGAAATAGTTCATCAAGTTAGGAGGCAATATGTGTAACTCAAGAGTCTGGATATCAAAAGAATAATAAGATAAAATTATGAATGATCTGCAGTGTTTAGAGGGCTTTCTCTGAATATCACCAAGATCTGTATTCTGCTAGACAAGAATGGAGAATTAACCCCTAGAGTCAGACCATTTCAATACAATCATGATATTTACAAGTGATGGTATTAAAAAATCATTCTGATGCAATCACACTCACCCAAACATAGCACAAAGGTATGAATTGCAAAGTAGAAGCATTTTGTGTAGTAGTGCCTCAGAAATAACGATGTTAAGATGGCTACTTGTAAAAAGAGAATATTCTCTCTCATTTTCTTGAAATAAATGGTACTTTCTAGCCTACCCGATATTTGGAGATAAAAATAAAACAGTATTTGAATGGGTTAATATTTAGTACAGAGTTTATGTGAATGTATTCAGAGCTCGAACTCTCAAAACAGCTTCGATTCTCCCTTCATCCTCCTTGTTTGCAGTAGCTTGTGCGTATTCGCAACGAAATCTTCAGGGAGACTTTTTCCTGTGAAATGCCTTTCTATTTTGGGAATAGGTGCTGCTCTGTGGTGCTGGAAAAGACAAGGTGGATGAAATGTGATTTCCTACGGAATGAAGTGTCCTCCCAGAAGTGGACAAAATCATGACTTGGTTAAAAAGCATTTTAAATCACTCATATGTCTGCAAACCGTTCTATAATTTGAATAGAAAATACTTTTTTATTAGCGACATTCATGAGTTGAAGCGAGTTGGAGCGGTTTATTAGTTAAAGCTAAGTTAAAGCACTTAAATGCTAAATATGCAGGAAGTCAGACATTTATATGACGTAACTTCAGCATTGATCAGTGATTTTAATCACTGATCAATCACCGATCAATGACTTCATTATTTGAATCAATGTAATTTTATTTGCGACTTGCCCACCTGTGAAAGGTGATCTGAGTCCAGGTCATGAAATCCGAAGACAAGTACAGTTTAGAAGAAGGCCTTTTTCGCCGCTGGCAATGCAACTCTTTCAGACTTCAGATGCATCGTTGTTGGGCTCTGATAGTATCTTTGTCTTCCGTCGTTTACGAGAGTCGTCAAGAGAAGAGTTATTTCTACACTTGGTGGAGAGTGGAGGTATTAAAATGGGCAAGGGGTTCCAGCAGCTGTGCTCTTCTCCCCTCGTTTACTCAAGTCGAGTGATCGGATTTCACTATCCCCTCCCTTCTCCATGTTCCAGCGTTGCGGCAATTACTGGGTAATCAAAGGCGTATTTGTTCAATCATTATTCCGCTCGCTCGAAGATGTATGGCCAACGTATCGAGGGGGCCCTCCCATCCCGTTTCGAAACGTGAAACCCGTAACCCCGTTTTGCAAGGAACGTAAGGCTTCCCCCGAGGAACCTACAATAATCATTCCGTCCATCACGTCGACGTTCCGGGTTTCAACTTTCTGGTCTCGCGTCACCTCGGCACCCCCTTCCGGACGCCCTCGCGGATACGAGGAGCCCGGCCTCGCGGGCTTTCCAGGAGTGGCACTCATCATCTGCCACAAGCACACGTGGCATTCGATCATCATCATATGATGACCGGCTTTCTACTACGTATAATGCATGTACATGCAGACGGAATCATATCCCTTCGTGCTGAGGTAGGAAACTTGCCAAGAATTCCTCGAGTTTCGATGCCTGCACTCTCTCTTTCTCTCCCTCTCCCTCTCTCTCCTTTTCTCCCTCTCTCCCTCTCCCTCTCTCTCTCTCTCTCTCTCTCTGTAGGAGAGGCGTTGCCACGATGTAGGCGGTTGACCCATTCCAGGCAACAACTTTTCTTATCATAATAGGGAGACTGCTGAGTAAAATTTACGGGCTCGCCTTTGCGACCTTGAACTCTTTGAATGAAAAGTGACGGCTAGATTCGTTCAGCTCACAGCTTTTTACGAACCAAACCAAACCTCTCTGATAAAATTCGTCGAGTCACAGCAGCGATCGTCTGTTAAGCAATTCCAAACCATTTTTCAAGCACGTTCCTGAGGAAACCGAATGATGTGTGAGTAGTGTGATGGAATCAGCGGATAGTTCGCTTTTAATCTGAAGGAATCTATAAATTTCCATTTTGAAGGGGAAAAGTATGGAGATTATCGTATATCGTGACTCCCTGTCACGCCTCGAATGTGCGACAATTCCAAGGAAGTGAGAGCACGTTTTAGTAAATTCCTCGCTTCATTCACGTCCCAGTTGATTAATTGGATAATTTGAAATGCACAAGACGCGGAAAGAGAGATTATGCAAAGTGAAAGGATAAAGAATGAGAAGTTTTTTTTGTGAGTACATAAGACATGGTATCGCGGCTCATTGATGGCAGTTTCTGAGGACAAGGACAAACTCGAATGGAGAGATTGACTTGCGCAGAGCCTGGCGCACCCATCAGCTCCCTCTCTTAGCACACGCATACACCCTCACACACGTGCATAAGCATATAGGAGAAGAGGATTGATGGCCGGAGATGAAGGGCCCGTCCCGTTGTGTTTTCAGTGCGTGCCGCAATCTCCCGCTGTCATTTCGCGGAAGGAAAACACGTTGCAGTTGATTATTGAAAAACCCTGGCGATTCGATTTGGATTTGGCCGCCTTTCGTGGACGTACTGTCAATGGGCCAAAACTTTCTTCGAACTCCTTGCCCAAAAGTTAATCGAGCGCGTTAATCACGATCCGCGAAAATGTTGAAGGTTGATGATAGAGTAAAATTGGCCCATGCGTCGTCGCTCATTCTTTTTTTCTCCCTTCTTTCCCAAATCGAACTTCCTGGTCGTGTAGGCGAGATCTATGCATAGATGAAAGCCGAGAAGCGTTTGATGGGAACACGTGCCCGTTATCCCAGAGTGTGTGGAGCGAGAGAGATCCCGGTCCCACGAGGCCAAGTTTCCCAAGTTTGACGTCTACCGGAGGAGACTTGAAGGACGCCAACCCTTTTTTTGAGCCCTTTGACCTTCATCGATTCGTCGTTGTCTTCTGCACCCCGCTGTTCCTCTGTTCAGAGATCGGATGAACCTCCGCGGCGATGATGTTGTGACTGACAGGGTATCGATCTCCGCGGGAGAGGCAGAGAGAGTCCTGACCTTCGGTGCTGCTCCCGGAGTGGATGAGACCCAAGAGGTGCGGAATCGCCTCGTAGTGATGGCGGAGACGTGAGGATCGCGAGACGGAAGATGTCCGGGCTCTGGTGGCTTTTCAACGTCCTCGCCCACTTGGCTTGGCTGTGTTCTGGTCTCGTCCAGGTCTGGGACATTCCTGGGGATTATTGTCGAACCCGTTCCGGAGGTTGTTGCCCGGGAAGGATCGACCAATGTTCGGTGCCGATCTTACGCACTCTCTGCTATTGTGATGCCTTCTGCGATCGCAGGGAGAACCCGGACTGTTGTCCAGATTACCACGAGTTCTGCTTAGGGATCTCAAAGCCTGCCACGTCTCCTGAACCTCTTCAAAGTAAGTAAGTTCCTTGAAGGTAGGATTTAAATAATTGCCAAATATGTGGGAAGCGAATTCCTACTTGGGAAGTATGGTTTCCGTCACATAATCCTTTCATGTTTATGAATATTGACTCTTCTTTTTTTTTACGTTATGCTAAGAGACAAAAAACGCAGACTACTGAATTCATACATGAAACTGTCGGCCATAGATGAAAGAAGAGAACTGAAACATGAGACTTGAAGAGGTTAAAGAATCCCATAGGTAGAGTATGACAATTACATAATGTTTATTCATTACATCTGGTACTCATCTAGTTATATAGCTTCGGATACTCGTCGTTTGCTTCGAGCTCTTGGATTTGAACTCCTTCTGCATTATAAAAAAAAAGAGAGAAGATCATTAATCTCAAAATGGTTGCGTATGAGCTCATGAATACACAGGAGGTGGGAGTGGTGCTATAATCTAATTCCTGGAATAACGAGCCCCAGCGGTTTATTTTCAACATATAGGGGTTTAAAAAAAAATACAGAGAAATGTTCCTTGCTCTGGCCCACACGAAAGAAAGACGACTCGAAGGAAGCTGCCAGAACGTGTCAAGTGGACACGATGGAGGGTGGCGACCAACAAAGACCACCCTTGTCTTTGCCCCATTGAAGGGCGAGAAGAGAGATGTAGCCACTGATCAGCACGAATGAAGAGATGACGTCGGGAAATATTCCACGCGGGGGTTCCTCCTCCTCGTCCACTGGTTGTCAGTGAGGATATTTCAACAGTTATCCGATCATTAGAGTGGGGAGGTTCTTTGTTGAAGGCCTTGAGCGTAGGAAGGACGTAAGATCGTCCATGAAGGGTGGTACTGGCCATTCCACTCTCTCATTATGCGGCCTACTAACACATCTTATCTACTCATTTTCACAACGTTTGTCAGAGGTGGAGGTACTTCATCTCGACTAATGCAAACACATTGTTGCTTTCCTGTCCCATAATTACGGATACCACTTATCATTATCCTCGGGGCATCCGGTTGAGAGGAAGAACGACTTTAAACGAGGTCTGCACACGATGCTTTTGATACGTTTATGCTTGATTTCCAAGGTCCTCCCCGCTGAACCGCACGAAGGGAGGATATGTCAAGATACTGTGAACTATGTGACTTTTTCTTTCCTTGGACAGATTGCAACTACAATGGAGGAGGTGTGGCATACGAAGGATCAGTCAAAGACAATTGCAATACTTGGTAAGCCCCTGACATTTTTTGGGAAATTTTTAAGGATCAGCACACCACCTTGGGAAACAAAGAGTAGTATACGAGATAAGAGAGAACTTGATCCCTGCTCGGAGTACACCGGAGATTGATGTCTGTGAGTCGTGCCGGAATTCGTTCTTGGTATATGATTCCCTCTCATGCACTCTGGACAGCCGGCAAGTCCAACTTTCCATGAAGCCAGCTCGGGTGTAGAGCCTCTTCCTAGATATATTTTAAGAGAGAGAACTCCATGTCGCTTGAAAGAAGAGGGGAAACATTCAGAATATCTAAATCAGTGTTTAGGATGTTATCATAGAGAGAATTACAAAAATTATGCAGGCCGGGGGGAGAACGAGATGGAAGTTTGCCAAAGAGAAACACGCATACACACGTTGCACGATTTTTATGGTTTTGGTGTACTTCGTAAATGATACGCCACAAAGCCTCTCTTTTTTTCCCTCGAAGTCTTCTTTTTTTTTAATCGGATGTTGATCAGTTACTGGCGGAAGTTTGAAGACGATATCTATTGTTTGCAGCAAATGCGTTGCAATACCAGGGGATCCCCGTCGAACGGAGCTCATATGCGAACAAGAGGCATGCCTCATTCAGCCGGATTTGATAGAACAGGTCAATCGGTTGGAGCTGGGTTGGAAGGCAAGCAATTACTCCGATTTCTGGTCCAAGACTCTTCAAGAAGGTCTGTCGCTCAAATTGGGCACTCTGGAACCAGAAAGAACGGTAAGTTACGTCCGTCAGCTCCGACGCTCTGACGGACGAGATCCATGCGGAATTCCCTCACCAAAAGTCGACGATGACGATGAGACTGCCACTCTCTCCCGTAGGTTCGGAACATGTTCCCCATCCTCAAGATATACGAGCGGTCGAGCATCCCCAGAAGCTTCGACAGCAGGCAGAAGTGGGGAGAATGGATCCAGCCCGTGAGAGATCAAGGGTGGTGCGGGGCATCGTGGGCATTCTCTACGACAGCCGTCGCCTCCGATCGAAGAGCCATTCAATCCAACGGCAGATTTCAGGATGTCCTCTCGGTTCAGCATCTCGTCGATTGCACGCCCAGGAAGAAGGAGGGCTGCAAGGGCTACTACCTGGACAGGGCCTGGAACTACATGAGGAAAGCCGGGTGAGTATTCTCATCGGATTGTGCATGTTCTCAGATTTCCACAGGACGAGAGGTACTGGTTCATCCATTGCAGGTTGACTACGGAGGCGTGCTACCCGTACACAAGTGGTTTGGGTGGTGAAATCGGGACGTGTAAGATCCCAAAAAGTTTCTGGAAAAATGGCATCATCCAGTCTTCCGTTCCTCCGTGTGCAAATCAACTGGCTCGATCGCAGCCTCCATATAAGATCAAGAACGTGGAATACGACATCATGCACGAGATCATGACCAATGGCCCCGTTCAAGGCGAGTCTCGTAAATTACGAACCATGTTTCATGAAGAGAACAGAGAATAGGCATTCGGTGTTTTCACTTTTTCCTGCTGTAATTTCTAGCCATAATGAAGATCTACAGCGATTTCTTCATGTACCGAGGAGGAATTTATTCTGCGACTCGACTTCGGCCTTCTCAACCCACGGGATTCCATGCAGTCCGCATCGTTGGTTGGGGAGAGGACTACGTCAACGGGAGCCCTAAAAAATATTGGGTGCTTGCTATTTTCACCTATAAGTGGTCTCTTCTTCATGATCGAACCCGTGAAATTAAAAACTTCATTGTATTCTATTTGACTCTTTCAGCTGGTGGCGAACTCATGGGGTCCGGAATGGGGGGAGAACGGGTTCTTTCGGATCACGCGGGGAGTGAACGAATGTGACATCGAGATGTTCGTCATCGGAGCTTGGTCCGATCTGAGAAAACGGAACAAGGGCTCATCCAGGCGAAGGCGACATAAGAATCTCGTCTATTAAGTTCCAGATACCCGAAATGATTCCCCCCCCCCCCTCCCCCCGTTCTCCATGACCCAAAATAGTGACTCAGAAGTCAGAATCTTTGTTGACGTCATGTCCACGTGCAGGTTATGACGAGGCACATTCATCAAGTATGCCAGGCTACTTCACGGCACACGGGGCGTAGGCATATATGACGACATTCTAGAGGAATTCTCTTCAAGCCGATCCCTTCGTCCATTGCACATCCTTCATAGCGGAAGAGACAACCATGTAAATTAAGGGAAAATTTCTCCTCTCCTCACCATCCGAGTGAGGAAAAAAATCTCGACTGACTATCTTCTTTCCGTGGATTCCTGGACTCCAAGGTCATTCATATTCGTGAAAAGGCTTCTTTGCTTTCAACGCCTACTTAAAAAAAGAGATAATGAGATGTTAGTTCCCTTCGCTATAACGAAGCCTATAACGCAGTGCTGGCTCACTCCTACGGAGTCGTATTTATGAATAGAGATTCCATGAACATACTCATACTTCCCCCAGCCACCACGCCTAGGTGAACTCTTTCATATAACAGCAATATTGTATCGGTGGAATGGTCTCGTCTGTGTGCTTCGCAAGTATGTTATACAATTTGAAACACTGTGGAAGCGTTGCCGACGTGACGCTTCATTTCATGGTGAGAATCCGTTAGCCACGTTCGAGTGTATGCATTTATGAACAAGCTTTATGGACTATAGAGGTGACTGAGATGTGAATTTTTTAGTACCTTAACCCTCTTTAGTCGCTCCTAACATCAGGAGTGCGTTTGTTTCAATTCTGTGCATAAGAATACTGTACTACTGTATCCTCTTGAATGTGCGTAAATTTTTCTTCTCCGTAGCTGAGAGGTTTTTGGTATGGTATGAATGCACCTCGAAAAAAGAAGTTTTAATACGTGAAAAGTGACTTGAGGTCAATTAGTCTACATACTGGATCGATCTATTCACCGATCACCACTTGTAATCTTCCATTATGGACCTTACTTCATCACTCGTCCACCCTCTCCCCCTACTTCGAATAGCAGTCAAGCGGTGCCTAGCAACTGTGAAGCTTGTCCCCAAACGTCTTCCAATGAGACAGTTCAGTAGGAAGTGGCGTCAATGTAGTGCTCACAATATCTTGAATAGAGGAAGATGAAGCCAAGGTCAGCTTTTGGAGGATGCCACATGACGATATGTTCATCCTTCCCTCCTATCAGGCCAAGGAACGACGTGTCCGTGTCTGTTTCCAATGGAAAAGAATGACTCCTGCAGGATAAGAATAAGGACATCCTTGTTCCAGGAATTACTTGGGTTGAACTTGACGAATTAACAGCATATATACCTCCTGGTTCAGTGATGCCATCTACCGTGAAACAGTGCCATCTCCAGATAGCATATTCCTTCCTCACTCCTCGCTCTCCGAATCCAAGCAATCCTTGTTCCTGCTACTGCGGTTCCGATGGATCTTCATTTTGTCTTCCCATCATCCTATATGCAATATTGCTGTATTTTTATTTTTTAGTGTCGTAGGCCTTCTTTCAATAAGAAAGAGATATGCTGAAACCGGCTGTCCAGTCTTGTGTCTCTGTTACCGTGAGTCCACATGTCTGCTGGAAAGGGTATGAGAATGTACGAACTCGAATATTCGAAGAGCATGAACCTATTAGTGCGACCTCAAGTCAATTAAACACCACAATTGAAACGAAAATATTACCCTTTCCGGCCATGTCAGGCCTTCAACAGCCATGCTGGCGTGATTTACAGAATGCCCCAAAAAATCCTTCTTCAAATTTTCTTTACGCAGTATCCTCAAATTGAGGTTCGCTCTGTCCACCCCTCTTGAATAGGAAAAAGAGTGAATTTAAAAAAAAAATCCACTTTGCAAAGACACTAAATGCCAAACTTAGCAGCCCAGCATGTTCTGCAGGGATACAGTGATTTATCTGTTTTGTCCTCGCTCCGTCCGCCTCCTACTTGAAAAAAAAACTTACCGTGGGCTAGGCTCAGGAATTGTATCCGTCATTGGCGCATAATGAAAGAAACAAGAGAAGACTATCCCCCGGAAGAGAGTTGTAGCTGAAACCTTTTCATTCATCAACTCGGTTCCTTCCTTGAAAGATTTCGAAAGGAGGATCGTTTCCACCCAAACGGCTTTCGAGTAATGCGAAAGATTTGAAATGCATAGCAACTCCAACAGAATCATGAAATCACGGGTCAAACGTGAGAGACTGATCTGGTTGATGCAAGGGGTGTTAAATAATTTGTTAAATATTAATTTTGAAATTTCAATGTAAAAATGCTATGAATTTCATACATTCATATCCCTTCTTGCTACATTCCATCAATACCTACCCACCATCGCACAATCACCCGCACATTGGAGCGCTTACTGCATTCAGACTTAGAAGTACTTCTCAGTTCTAAATTTACACCTCCGACAACGGCGTTTCTCATTCGTGCCGAACCGGAGAATTTGCAGGCCGCTTGCGCTACTGTGAAACTCGCGAAACTCCATCGTTTATCGTTTCATGACAGCTAGTATTAATACATACACACCCTGCAGCTACAGGGATTCCAGATGAATAACAGCCACCACTGCAGTAAATGCAAATGGACGCCCGTTTCAAACGAGCACCAGAAGGTAAACAGGAAAGCACATGTGGTCAAATGGCAATTACGTCACTTCTTCATTGCGTGGGTGGAGAGGTCACGAGCCTCAATTTCACCGAGGTTGGTAGCGAGAGAGAGCTGACCGCTTCATGAATCTCGCATAATCTCCTATAATGAGGTCGTAGACACTCGGCGACCGACACTCTCAACCCAACCCACATGAATCGGTCTGAAAGGGGTTTTCAACGTAGGAGGCTACGGTTTTTTTTTTTCTCCGTCGTTTGGATAAGCATCCAAGAACGAACGGATGATGACCTTGAAGAACTCTCTGCTCTCAGATTTTCCTTGGATCAATAGAGAGGTAAGCCACAGGAAAAAAAAACACCCCCCAGAAGTGGAAAATAGCCACCCGAAACAAGAACACATGTTTACTTTGCTTTTTAAAAGTAAAAATGTATTTTTGACATTGAGATTTATAATTAAATATTATTAAACTACAATTTTGGCTGAATAAATTGCCGTATATGCACTTGAAGTCCATCAAAAAGTCTCCAAATGATATGTCCATAGAGTGTTTTCCTCAAGTGTGATACAACGTTAGACACTTATTACTGTTATACAAATTTTCTGAAAATTTTAAAATACCTTCTTAAAAAGCAGTTCAGTGTTTTTTTTTATAGCTTTAAAAAAGGGAAAAGTTAATACAAACAACTCCATGACGTTCGTTAAACGGTTGCAAAGCCTTAAATATGATTAATATGCTTATATCCAGCCAGGTGTCTTCGTGTTTTCATCTCAAATGGCTTCCCTCCGCTTTTATCGATTCCGAAGTTCTTTTTCGGGCGACTTTTCCCTCAAGACCCCATGGAATGCAGCCTTTTTTTTCGCCATGAAATCACGATCCAAATTGATGGTATAAAAGGGATTCAGCAAATCTGCAAAGAAAATGTTAGCGCTGTGGGTGTCCAGATGCCAACAAATGCACGAAAACGAGCGACACTTTGACACAGATGATGCACTTCGATAAGAGACTTCCCCGAAGCCCGGAAAGGGGTAAAAATTATTTTTTTTTAGCATTTGAAAATTGGATACACTCTTACTGCAGATCTGTCGTAATTCGGGAGCAGTTTGGAGTAAGGGGAAACTTTAGAGTCAAAATTAGGTTAAATTAGATGCATTCTGGGTTTAATTGATCTATTCTTGTTGCAGCACTGCTGGGAAATTTTCATTGTTGTCCATAAGGATTTTTCTCCCTACTATTGCTCCAATGAGACTGCATGAAAAAAGCATCTGCATAAAAATCCGTCCTCCACTCATAATACAAGTGATTTCATATCAAGGCTTGTCGGAAGGAAGCTTTTCGCGCTTTCAGAACGTGGCAAATTAAGCCGAGAAACACACCGTTGTTCGAATAGAGCCAATTCTTTCAAAAAGGCTGGTGTGGGGATGTAGGGGAGGAGCTGTTTCAAGAGCTGCAGAGGTATCAAGTTCAATGCCTTTGTTCGTGATTAGATAAATAATGATTGTCAGAACTGATAAAACGTTCCTTCCAACTGTGAGTTCCAAAGTACACAACACGAGGGAGCGGAAGTGAATCTCTCAGCTCTCAGATGCCCACCAAGTTTCTTGAGGAAGGGGGGGGGGGGGGCCACAAAGAATCCAATGTTTTCACTCTCCCCTCAGGATTAGAGAGGATTAGGCAAGGTTTCCTTTCCCTCGGTCGCTTAGCTCCCCCCCCCAAATGCCAATTGGGCAGGGCTGATGAGCTGGAAAGGAGGGGGGTGCCAAGCGAGTCGAAGAATATTTCTTCTCTATTCCTATGAAAGCGGGGGAAAAATTACTCTTGTGGAGCACTTTCGAAGATGGGAGAATCCGATCCCCCCGCCCACAACCTCCCATGTTGATGCGACTGGGGCCGTACTACTACTGTACTGTGGCACCGTGAAGAATCCTACACAACTAATGCAAAATCAGTGAAAAAATGCGTCATCGCTCCAACGGTTGACCAGCCACCGTCAGCTGCAGCATAATAACAACTTTCCAGTTGATGCAGGAAGACCACTGCCGCCCAATCTCCCTAATTTAAATAACATTTCTCTGTACGAAGCTCAGTGGACACCCTATTTAGCGGGGGAACTGAAATAGTTCGAAGTCGGAGGTCCAGAGATCTCTTTATTCAAAAGATGAAAGTGATACTGTCTTAAGCGTTCAATAGATGGCAGGCACGAACTCAAGCACCGTGCACCATAAATCTCTTAATTTATTCCTCTTTGAGGCTTACGTGAAAGTATACCCTTCATACGGCTTGTTTTTTTACTTGCAACATCAGAAACCAAGTTTTCTGCATTGGATTATGCAATGATGTAAACCCTTGCCGCACGTGTTCCACTTGCTAAGTTCAGCATGGAACGAGAAGGGAACGAAATGGAACAAGAAGTCCCTAATAAAACTTCTCAAACACCTCATCTAAATGATAATTTATTGATCTTGATCATGGGTCCTCTCACGGTGAATTCAATGCTATTGAGCCCAAAATTCGACCCTCGAGGAGGTGTTGTTCGATCAGCAGACATACAAGGAGACCCATCTTCGAAGCGAGGACCGATCCTTTGCCAAACCAAAAAAAGGACACCGACCGAATCGCTCCTTCCAGACTGAAAGACTTCTAATACTTACACCCGCAGGGATTTTCCTGGTCACCCCGAATCGTCACGCTCAGCGCCTGCAGAATTCACACAGTGAATGAGGACAACAATATCGGAGAAGAGCGGAGTATGACGCAATAGGCGCTTTTAGCCACCGGGAGGATGTCGTCCGGTCGTTTTCAGCGGCCACGAATAAATCATGCTTCCCTGGTGCAGGTGATCTCATTACCATATGACAACCCCATATCACTCCGGGGGATAGGGCCCTCGAATGCCTTTCCAAACCCTTCCCATCCATCATCTCTCTTATTGAGAGAGACGGCGAGAGAAAGAGAGTGCCCTGTACGATCCCCCATGCGACAGAGTCTGACAAATTCGTGCGATTCGTGGTCGCAGGTCTTGCACGATTTGCAATGATAAATACAGACAGGAAATGCTATCCATAAGTGACTTTATGGACTGTGATGAAAAATGTGTAATTAATATGCTAATGAGATAGGAAGAGAATACCCCTCGGAACGTGAGCCCGAGACCCATCGTACCGTTTATCATGGCATAGAAGTATTAGCTCATCGACGTATGGGGGACTAAAACTGCAAGCCGAAAGTTGAGGGGAAACCCCGAACTCCACAGGGAAGACGAACCGATGTTCGGGGCGGGTTCCACTCGTGAACGTCGTTCATTTGAATAACCTAAGCCGTGGAGCCAGGTTTTATTCAACGAAGCGAAAGCTGATATTACCCCATGAGGAAGAACCCGCAGGAGGAGCAGCGGGGAGTACCGTCAAGTACTATCTTACCCTTCCACGAAATAAATCCCACTGTCGTCACTCATGCACGAACCCTTCACTGCAGAAGGATTAAGCCAGCTGACCGAGCTACGGGGGGAAGCATACCAAAGTCCTGACGGAAAATTTTTTTTCCTTCTTCCTAGGGAGAGTGAGAAACGGAGCAATCCCCGTCAGACGTGAGCGAACGTGATGAGACGAGGGCGGGCAGAAGAGTCGGTCGAAGATGGATCGTGTCTTCATTTTGTCTACTCTTGCTTCCTGGGTGCTGGCTCAACGTGGGGCGCTTTCAAAGTTCTCATTAAGAACCACTACCTCTTGTCCCGGAGACACGTGCTCGACAGGGATATCATTTCCTGCATATAAAAATTCATAATCTGCCGTCCATTCCGTTAAATATGGCACCATAATGAACCTGACGGAAGTAGTGTTCCACAGGAATGCATGCTCAACTTCAACTCGAAGCTTCTTGGAACTTTTCCGTTATGACCTT